GAAAACCCGGTGAGATCTTGATGAAATTTCTCTTCTTTTCTTGTTAAATCACAAGATTTGGGGCTTAGAATCTTCCCTCTCAACCCAGAAATCCCCCTCCCTTCTGCAGATTTTCGGATCTGCTCTGCTCTGCTCTGTCCTTCCGCGAGTAGCTCTTACTGGTGGAGTGCTTCCCGGTTTTCTGGTAAGGGAACGACTAAGAATCATCCCTTTAGCCTTAATTCAAGTTGGGTTGCTCTGATTGTGTTGTGGGTTCTTGAATTTTGAGGTTTGTCGTGAGTTCCTCCATTTCTCTCCCGTCGGCTTCCTTCCCAGCCGGACCCGGTGCTGCTCGCCGGAGTTTCCTGGTATGATGGACAGCCTTTTTATGTCTAATTATCAATTAAGTATTGTCCATTTAGTTGCTTGTGTTGTCCGAGATTGTGCTAGAATTATGGGATGATTTTGGGTAGCATAAAACATGTTTTAAGCTTGGTTGAGGTAGAAATTTCTTGATTTAGTTGCTGTGTGGTTTATAGGGAGAAGATCCCGTGTGTGTGAGTTGTGGTTTGCCAAGCCATGCTCTCCATGTGTTGCCCGTGAGTAAATGGGAGAATTTGATGTGGTATTATGGGGGTTAAGTACCAGCTATTGGGAAAGGATTAAATGTGTTGTTTTAGATGGGTATTAATTTTGGGAAATGTTTTGACTAGGTACTGATTATTCTGCACTCTAGCACTTGGGATTAGTGTTCTGTTGGTGCGAGTGAGGTAAGTAAATTATGGTAAAGCCCTTCGATTTCAAAGCATGTTTTAATTGTTTTTGAGATGGTGGCAAGGTTTTAATTGATTTTAAATTGATTTTACCAGCACTTGAGTGTGCTTAAACTGAAATGGAAGTTTTGATGATTTTAATGAGAATTTCATGGTTTTTCTGGAAATGAGCATGATTGATTCGAAATAAGATTATTGGTCTTTGGTATCGGAATGAGCATGCCTACTTGGACTTTAAGTGATTGTCCTGATGATTTGCAAGCGATTGGTGAATTAAGATTTTTCTGTTAATTTCTGCCTGTTTTGTCTCAGACGTGGATATGTTATTGATGACCCTGCTTTGATGATTTGAGAATTTTTGTAAATTATGATTTTCCGGTTAAATCGATGCCCACAGGGAATTTTCTGGTTATTTCCGAAATTATGGATTTCGATTGTGAATTATGGATTTCGATTGTGAATTATGGATTTCGATTGTGAATTTCGGATTTTGATTGTGAATCCTGCACGGTTTTGTCTCTGATATGGTCATGATTTCCGATCCCTGCTAGTGGGTGTGTAGCATCCCTGATCCCCGCTAGTAGGTGTAGCGCTAGCACTCCTGATCCCTGCTAGTGGGTGTGTAGCACTTCCGATCCCCGCTAGTGGGTGTAACGCTAGCACTTCCGATCCCTGCTAGTGGGTGTGTAGCATCCCTGATCCCCGTTAGTAGGTGTAACGCTGGCACTCCTGATCCCCGCTAGTGGGTGTAACGCTAGCACTTCTGATCCCCGCTAGTGGGTGTAACGCTAGCACTTCTGATCCCCGCTAGTGGGTGTGTAACACTTCCGATCCCCGCTAGTGGGTGTAACGCTAGCACATGTCGACATGTTTACTGATGACCGGTTTATTCTGTCGCCTGCCAGTGGGTTGTTATAACACTGGCCATGACTTATAGATGAGACTACTGAACTGAGTTTTCTTCAGCATTAACGGTTTGTTATGAGACGTTTTGCTATTGAACTAAACTTGATTTTCGCATTAACGGTTTATCAGTGAAAGTTTTGCTATGTTTACATGGTTTATCTGGCATGTTAAAAGTTTTACCCAAGGGCTATCCATTTTTACTTACTGAGTTATCTCATAGTTTTTCTTGTCCACCATTTCAGGAAGCGAAACCGAGGACGGGGAAACTGAGGGGAGTGACGAGTTAGAAGGCTAGCCATTCAATTGGGGTATAAGTTTTAGATTTTATCATCCTTTTGTAAGGTTGATTTTATTCATGAGATTTTGTGATTTGGATAAGTTCTGAGCCTTGTGCACTTGTGGGACCCGTCTCACGAGTGCACGGCGTCTGTCGCGTCTCGGATTTGGGTTCTGGGGCGTGACAAATGGTAGGTTGATTTTTTTTTTTTCAATTTATAATTATTTATAAGGTTAATTAGGGAGGGGAGAAAGGGGTTCTGTGGGGCTCGAACATGCAACCTACGAAGGTGAACAGCCCTAAATCAGAACTCAAAATCATTGGGTCGAAGCGGGTCGTTCGACTGAATTTAATTAATAAGGGGAGAATAAAACTAAAGTAAAATGATAGATTTACCAAATAAAGAAAGTATTTAATTAATATATATA